GCTGTTAGACTTTTTTGGATCAAAATTCTGCAAGAAATGTGAGCACAGTTTAGCTTGCTTTCAATTTTTTATTTGGTCAACTCTCTATGGACACCTCTGGGATCAGAAAAAAGGGTCTGTCTTAAAGAGGTCCGTCTTTTAGAAAATCATGTAAAGGAAGTAGAGCGAAGTAGGGACCAGCTCTATCTGTCCAATTTATGGTGTAGCAAGATGTCCGTCAAGGGATTTTGTATTTTAAAATTTAGCATGAGAGCTACAGTACTCCTGGACTCACTATCATGCTGATCAGGTCTTTTTGTGGATGAGAGGGCACATATGTCCCTAGACTAAATTTCAAATACTTTCAATTAATATAGTTTCACATTTTTGCATTTCTGTATTCAGCCCATCTTTAACTGTGTTTGTTGTCACTTAGTCTTCTGTCACTGTTTCAAGGCAAGGTTGCTTATTAGAATTTTGCCCTATCAGAGCCTCTAGAAGGTGGGCTATTTCAATACTACAGTTAAAATGTTAACCTGCAAAGAAGTGTTGATACCAGTGGGGTTAATTTTTTCATACTCACACATTGAATATGTTGTGGCCCGCTTAAGGCAGCACACAGAAACTTTTGGCATACAGTAAAACCCCATGACTCAGAACCCGGATTTTAAGAGCCTGTTAGGCGAAAATGAGCCAGTTAAGCCCCCCTTCTACACTGTATATAAGAACCTGTTTAGCCTAAAAGTTGAAACAGGTTCTTATCTAATTATGGAAAAAATTCGTGCTTAGGTAAATATCAGATAAGTCACTCACATTCAGAATTCTCTTTAGAGACATATAGCTGCCTTTTCACTCCAACTGAAATTTATATGCCAATGAGGTCAATGCTTTAGCTCCTTATCTGGTCATTTTTACATAACTTCAAATTTGGTATGTAAATTTTTTTTTCTTGGGAGGGTGTCTGTACAAACTGTTGAGGCCACCACATTGTCACTGCATGACCATTGTGTGACATAGCATCTCATGAGAGAGTTAAACATAAACTCATCTGAACATTGTACACTTTTGTAACAAGAAAAATGAGTACCATTTTTAAATTGAGGCTGTAACTTTTCAAATTCCACCATTTTGAATCAAAGTAAGCAAGTTAGCCATTCTAAGCAGGAAACAATAAGCGTTATTTTCACGCACCCCTGCCCCAATCCCTCTGCCCCCCGAAATAAAGAGTGACAGTATTACCTGACTGATTTGACCTAACCAGAAATTCCAAAAATTATTGTCGTTCTATGGGTCATAAAACACTATTAATTGCAGTACATTTCTCAATTCTGGTTCTTAAAACTAACAAAGCAAATTAAATTAAGGTTTCATTTTTGTTTGATGTTGCATTTAAAACCTTTCAAACTGTCCTAGTAAACATTTATATAAAGTTTTTTTGGACGTGGTGATCTAGAATGAGCAAGGAATGGCATTTCACATGCAAAGCAAGAATTGCAATAAGATAAAAAGAGACATTGGTCGTCACATTTTAAACGGTTTAAACTTCAACATAAAGCAATGACAAACCTCAAAGCAACCCATCCTACCATCGTTTTTAAAATGCACTGAAAAAAATAACTACTAACTACTAACTTATTATTAATAGTGTACTATATTTTGTGAACAGAAAATCGTGGAGGGGAACTGCCTTACATTGTACATGCCTAATTGGACGTATTGGTGTGAAATAGGTCTAGGGTCAGGATTTGAAGAGTAAACGTTACACCCCCACCAGGAATTGCTAGAAATACACACGGGAGAAAAAATCGAAGGCATTTTATGAACTGGGCCTGCCTATTGGCCACTATATACTCTTAGCTGTATTGCATTTTTTTTTTCTTAAGAACCTAAATAGCCTTAACTTGTGCTAACTACATGTATATGTACCATTTCTATAGGAACCTTTTTAGGCTAACTCTGTGTCGAATATAAAACGCAAAAACATGTCCACAAAATTTGAAAGGTGCTAAAACCGACACCAGAAGCCTATTACCCTCTGAAGCTTTCTGTAAACTAGCTTACAAATCATGTCTAACCCAAAGCACCTCTATCCCTTGTAAAAGTTAGGAAAAATGGCTGGCAGACTGCAACTCTTGTGACTTTGACACGATTGATTGGGGTAAGTCATATACCCTTGCTTTTCTATACCAACAAATCTAAATTACGTGTTTTTCAATGTAAATTTCTGCATAGAAAATTGGCAACAAACTGTTTCCTAGCTTTTAAAAACTGGAATCAAATCTAATGATCAATGCAGTTTCTGCAATGAAAGCTCAGAAACTCTTTTGCATCTCTTTTGAGAATGTCCTTTGGTTAAATCCTTTTGGAATGAAATTGGTAACTGGATGAAAAACAGCTCTTGCTTTCTTAACAAAGAATTCTCCGTTTTGTCTTGCATAGGCCTAGTGAATGATACTACAAACCTGCTTTTCCATCATGCACTTTTAATCGTGAGGTATCACATCTATTTCTCCAAACAAAAAGGCGTTAACCCTTCATGGGAACTCTTTTTTCAAACCATTCTAAGTTGTCTTGATTATGAAAGACGTTATGCCATTAAAACTGCGATTTTAAGAAAATTCAATGCAAAATGGGGAGCATTTATCTGGGAAAGTGATCTTTACTCTTTATTTCCTTTGTCGAGATGTGCAGAGAACAGCAATCATGCTAACTCTCTAGAGGCTCTTTTGATGTTCCTAGGCGGATAATCAGTAAATGTGCGTAGTGCGTGTGTGTGCGTGTGTGTGTGTGTGTGCGCGTGAGTATGCAAGAACTACTTAATAAGTTACTTTGGCTACTCTGTATTATAGATCTGGATTGTTTAAGTAATTACTGTATAGTAGCAATGTAATCATTTTTATGCTTTGTAATTATAAGTACTGTAAATCAGTGATGCAAATAAATAAATTAAAAAAAAAAACTTGGAAAAATCTAGGTTCTTATTCGTGGGGGCAGTATACATTGCCATTCTTAGAGTTACCAATGTTGTGAACTGTCATGCTGTGACATACAGCCAGCTCCTATATCCATCCAACACATGTGATCCTTGAGTCACTATGTATCAGATAAACAAGGGTAAACAAGGTGTATTATGGGTAGTGTGAAAGAGGCAGATAAAAAGGACTTTGATATCAAACAATTATTTTTAAATAATGTACAAATGTAGCAACTGTGCAGGCTGAAGGCCTTACACAAATGTACTCATACAGTGTACAACAAAAATCTACACTGCTTGGTTTGGTCTTTTTTATGATCGAAGAATAGTGCACTGCTAGCTATAGAGCACCACGTTTACAGCTGAATTATGCTAAAATGTAGATTTTTCAATAGGTGAGTTAGATAGAATCCACTCTCCTTCGCTGGTTAATATCCAGTATTAAATTCCTTTATTATTATCAGCTTTTTCTGAAAAAATTTGTGAAATTTTGTTTCTGTAACCTAGCCTCCCTCACAGTATTTTTAGGAGATTTGTATATCCTCCCTTCCCACAAAATGCCTACGTACCCGACATCAACATTTCTGATTTCCATTTTTTTATTCATGTGGTACATGTAACCAATCAACAATGAGAGTAACAATTATGATGTTAATTTTTTCCAAACTTCTGCCTTAAGAGTTGTGGGCACTGTGTAGTGAGAAAAAAGCAATGTTACTCTACTAAGTGTGACAAACTGCTTTATGCAACTTTAAAGTTTTGTTTCCTTTATATAAAGTGGAATTATAAATGTATTAACAGCAATTCTGCCAAATTTCATCAGGTTCTTTTAAGTGGATTTTGATATTTTGTCATTTGTTATTTAAACACAGCCTATGAAAGTCAACAAGAGTACTGTATGTACAGTATGCCCAAAACGTGTGCAAGCACTGAGATCACCACATGATAGGACAAAGTGATGAATAGCGAATAAATTTGTTCTGACAATTTCTGGGCATTTTTCTCAG